TCTTTTTTTTTGAAGGAGAAGATGCAATTTTTATTTTTATATTCGTTGAAAAAAAGTTAATTAGTAAATTTTATATACGATGATGTCAATTAGTTTTGATCTACATAGTCTATCGTACAACCCAATCTATTATGCTCATTAACCTCATTTAGAAAATAAAAAAAAAAGAAAAAAGCGTGATTTAAAAATTTAATTACCTATTTTTAGGAATTTCAAGAAACTATAAATATCGGACAAAACTGCAATGGAAAATTTTGTTTTTTAGAATATAATAATTATATTCAATAAATATCTAAAAACTTACACCAATAAATACAAAAAATGGATAATCGAAGTAATCAAAATTATTTTGAGAATAATAATAATAATAATCACGATGTTTGGGTTAGTGGTTTTAACCCTGATAACGGTAACCTAAGTCTTGTTTCTCATTCGAATTGGCAATCAAGAAACATTAATCAATATTCAGTTCCTATCCAAAACTCTGTCGCCAATAATCCTGGTGAAAATAATTTAGTTTATCAAAACCCTAGCGATAATAATTACGCTCATAATAACTCGGTTCATAATAGTTTCGTTAGCCAGAACTCTGCAAACAACAATTACTCTCATCAAGACACGATTCATAATAATTCTATTTATCAATATTATTGCAACAGTAATTTTGTTCGTCAAAATAATCTCGCTAATAGTATTGTCAGTAATAATCTCGTTGACCAAAGTTTGTTTAATAATAATAATAATCATTCAACTAATGTTATCACTCGTCAAAACTTTACCAACAACAACAACAATAACAACAATCATTCAATTAATACTATCGTTCATCAAAACGCTGCCAATAATAGTTTCATTGGTCGGAATAATTATTTCAACCACAGCAATTTAACCAGAGACCAATTAATGTGCATCAAGTTTCAACTTCTAAACGACCTCAATAATATAAATCTGTTGTTAGATAACATTAATAACATATAGCTGATATTTAGTTAATATTAATGTAATTGTAATAATAATAATTAGTTAATTAGCATGTTTTTTTGTTTTTGACATAGATAAATAAGTTAACAGTCAAATGAAATGTCCGATCAAATTATTTTATGTAATGATATAAAATTGTATATACAATAAACACATTTTGACCTTAAAAGACATTCAATATGTCTTTCATTTGACGCCTTTATTGTTCATATAAATTGACTAATTTAACTTCGATACAAAATTTATAATTAATTCTATATTGAACTTTTCTAAACTTGCCGATAATCGTGATGAAAATTAAAATCGTGGAAGACATGATCTATATATAATATATGGTCTGTAAAGAACACTTCTACTTTCTTCGTCAAATCTAATCAAAGATTAAGTGTACAGGTATGAATAGGGTTGTGTTGGTCTTTAAAAGACCGGTCTTTGAACCAATCCCTCTGAACCACGGTCCTAAATTTTAGGACTGGTCCTTGTGGGACCAACAGATCTTTTGTGGGTGCTATTCATTATTGAATCTAATACTAAAAAATTAATCATTACAATGTCCGCTTTTTTGAGGCCAAAGAACTTTAATATTAAAAATCTATAATAATAATAATTTCATATAATAAAAAACAATAATTTATAACAGTAGTAGTAGGTATAATATTATTGTAGAAATAGTAATAGGAAGAACAGCAACAACAAAAACGAAACAAAATATTTGGTTGATGATTGGCTTTCTATGATGTCAGTAAACAAGATAATTGTAAATAAATTCGTAAAATAAATTAATCGAGAGTGTAACTAAAAAGTTAATTCAAACTCAGGCATAAACCGGAAAATAATTGGGGATTGACTCCTTGCAATATGTAACTCACTATTGAGTTAGCCTTTAAACAATTTTTAACTGGTCCCAAAGACTGCATCTAAAGACTGGTCCTTCAGTCTTCCAAAAAAGACCGGTCTTTTGGGACCAGCTAATATCACTAATCACGATTCATATATTATATCCTGTAATAATGATAGAAATTCATTAGAACCAATTAAATAGAATATTCATAAATCTATAATTATGTGAACAAAGCTTTACCAAATCCATGTCTGCCAAAAACAATCATTTCTTTTTTTTTTTTTTTGCGAAAGATTGTTAGTTTTATTTATTCAGAATTTATTTTATACATATTCCAAGAAACCCTACATTAATACGATCGATAGGAAAACATCCTTTCAACTGTTCCTTTACTATTGAAACAAGATTTTATCACCACTAATGATCTATATTATGTAAGAAATTTCCTAAACTTGATTAGAAAACTCACCGATTAATCATTGATGGGTTTTAAAATACATAGATAAATAGTTTCATGTTATGAAACTTTTTTCACATATATAAACATCGTTGACCAATCTTTGCACCTTTTAATTTTAATTTATTATTAATAAATAAAATTGCACATATGTGCTTATTAGTAGGTGGGCAACACTTTAAATTGTTGTATATATGTATTTATATTTGGGTCTGAGACACTTTACCGACACCCACTTTACCGACAGGACACTTTGCCGACAATCAAGTAGTTTTTTTATCCCAAACTGTTTCTCAAAGCTCGAACTATTTTGGCAATTTGGGCTTTTCAATGTTTTTTATATAATAAGAGTGTGAGTTTAACATTCAAAATAATTACTCTTTTTTTTCATAAAAATTCAAGTAATTATGTTAAAAGTATTCAAAAAGATTTATAATAAAAGAGATGCAAAAGGAACAAAGTAAAGTCGAACTTGACATAGAAATGGTCTTGCGAGGAACACCACAACCTCTACAGAAACCACAAGATCGTAATCGTGAAATACGGATTCAAACAGTATTAAATGACCATAACATTAGATCAACTATTACTATAGATTTTCTTCGGGGCATTGCCCATAATATTTCATTTTAAAAAATTTTTTTTTGTGTTTGTTTTTACCAATACCAGTCATAGGACATTTCCGCCGATTTATAGAAGGTTGTAAAATTTAGATGATCTGCATCATAGTAAAATTTTATAATTGAATGTCTTCACACCTCCCTTGCAGTGTAGCAACCACCACCAAATTTGTCAATTGAAAATAAAAGGAATTTTATTATTTGAAAAAACCATTCAAATGTGTAATTTTCTTTAATAATTGCTCTAAAGCCTACATAACTATACATGTGGTCAAAATTATTAAATTGCGTCAGACGCAATTAAAAATCTAGAAAATTGAACATTGCGTCACCAATCATAAATTTGACGCGTTGACGCAAGATGCAATTCGCGACGCAAGACGAAATTCGTGACGCAAGACGAAATTCGTGACGCAAGACGAAATTCGTGACGCAAGACGAAATTCGTCACGCAAGATGCAATTTGCGATGCAAGACGAAAAAAATACGCATTTGGAAATCTTGATTGCAAAAAATGGTCGGACACGTGTGTAAAACTTTTAACATTACTATTATTAATCACTATTTTGATTATGCAATTTTACAGGTTTCTACCCATTTTGAATAAAAAAAAATATTAGTGCAAATCTTTATTTACCAATCAAATTTCTTTGAATTATTAATATATGCGAATTTTTTTATTAATATATAAAACAATAAAATAAACTTTTTCCATTCGCTTTCTTTTATTTACAGTTAACAAAAAATATAAAGAATTATCCATAATTAACACAAAAAATAAATTCACTCACCTTCCAAAGAATCAATTTTTTATTTACAATTTAAAAAAAATTAAATCTTATTTAATACAATTATGAATTCTTCTGAAGATAATGTTTCTACATCTACATTTATTACCAGAAAATCCAGTTCGGGAAGACCTGAGATGCAAGTATGGAACCATTTTAATAAAACAATTTCTAGTAGTAGGGGACATTATGCATATACATGAAGTTGAAACATTTGCAGATCTGGTCAAAATAGGGTCGAAATAAGGTCGAAACTGATTTTTACTATGTAGTTGCCTCAAGTCAAAACATTTCGACTTTGGGGTTTTAATTTCGACTTCATGTATAATTATGCAGCTACCTGTAATTATTGTGAAAAAATTTGGGCATGTGGTAAACCATATGAACTTCAAAATCATCTCGCAAGTGAATGTGACAAGTGTCCAGGAACTATCTGTGATGAATTCATTGAAATTGTTTCAAATCGAATGTTAAAAGAAAAAAATAATCAGTCTCATATTGGTGATTATATGGAAAGTACAAAATTGAGTGATAACAAATGAAATAGTATCAATCAAGCGCTGGGATGATTTTTTATAACTTGTTCTATTCCATTTACTGTTGTTGAACACCCATTTTTTGTTGAATTCTGTAAGCAACTTAAACCAGCCTATGACCCACCTAGCCATACATCAGTTTCAAATACCATTTTAAATTCAGAAAATGCTCAAATTACAATAAAAATCAATGAAGAACTTCAAAAAGAAGAGAATATTACAATTGGTAAATATTTTTGGCTACTCAAAATATTTTTTGTTAATGAATGATCAATTAATTACCCCTATTTTTAGCCATTGATGGTTGGAGTGATCCCAATAATAGAAATTTATACAATTTTGTACTCATGGCTTCAGACAGAAGAGAATACCTTTGGAAAATAGAGGATTTTCTGGCAGCTGAAATTTAAAAAGTTATTGAACAAATTGGCCCCAAGAAATTTGTTGGTTTAGTTACAGATGGAGCTGCAAATTGTGTTGTTGCTAGACATAAAATTAATGAAAAATATCCAAATATATTTACAATGTGGTGTGCTGCTCATCATCTAAATTTACTTTCAAAAGACCTCTGCAAACATGAATTTGCAGATAATACAATTAAAAAATGTCAAACTTTGGTAAATTTTTTTGGAAAGTCACATTTGGGAATGGCAGCACTCTGCAAATCAATGGAAAAGCTGCAAATAAAAGGTGGTGGAATTAAAACATTTACAAAAACTAGATGGTCTACTATCTTTAATATATGTGAGACAATATTAAGATTACATTCTGCTTTTGAAGATGTAAGAATTAATTCTTTGTTTTATGTGACAAAATTCAAATATTTTAAAAAATTTATATTTTCTAATTATAGATTATAAGAGAAAAACCAGAAAATTTAAGTAGTTTATGCATTAGAACAATTAATTCACATGGCTTTTTTGATGACATACCATAGTCCTTCAACCAATAAAAAATGCAATTGGAATCCTTGAATCAAAAAATGCAACCTTAGCTGATTGTTTTTTTTAATCTATGCTGTCTTGCATCAGTAATATATTATATACCAGCTGTTACCAACAATACTTATCAAAATTTTCTCCACCCAAAGTATCATGGTAAGTAAAAATGTATCTGCAAATATTTTTTATTAAATAATTATTTATAAAATTTTTAAAGTTTAAAGGATGTGGATTACAAGATAATATATTCAGAGAGAATTGTTTGTTTGCTGGTGATTTGTTGCAAAAATAATCAAGTATTTGTTAGCAATTTGGTAAATATTCAAGATGATGATAGTAATAATAATAATGATGATGATTATGTTGAAAATTATATTGGGGATACAGATTATAATGAAATTGATTAAATATAAAAATGATAGTATTTTTTTTTATCATGTTTGAATTGTTGTGAATTGCACAAAACTTCATATAATAAAAATATTAATTTACTTATAATTATGGATATTTTATATAATGAATATAATACACACAAAAGTTTTCAATTACGTTCATACTAGACCATAACCTTTTAAAGTTGTGAATTAGAAAATCATGGATAACTAAAAAAAAAAAGGTTTATACTTTTTATCATTTTTGCAAGATTTGAAAACATCACTCAGATAATTTATATTATTCACAAATTACGTCTTGCGTCATGAATTGAGTCTGCGTCACGAATTCATCTGCATCTTACATCTGCGTCAATGTGACTTACACTAAACTAATTGCGTCATACGACTTTTAATTTTGACAACATGTATATACATAACAATATACCTCAAAACTTTCCTTATAATCTAAGATCTTCCAATTCTCTGGTATAATTTTTATTACATAATTTTGGCTACTTTTTCATTAAATATAATATTTTACAAACTGCCATTTTTTTTGAAACACACTGTACCCGAATATACTTGTAGTCAATTACTTTTTGGTAAAGCAATATAGCATTTTGCATTTTAAGGACTAAATCTTCCCACAATTTGTGAATTGTCTTAATAAATTCAAACTCTCCTATGATCTCATCCACTCATGGCTCATCGCCAGATGACTCTGATTCACTTTCAGCATCATTTTTTAGCTCATCTTCTAACTTACCTGCATCATTTTCCAATTCACCTTCAATGGACTCCAAACTATTTTCTAAATTATCCACATCAATTGCAAAATTGTTATCAAATTAATTAATCGTAAATCTTGGATTTGGCTTCTTTACTTTCAGGCCTCTGTTTTTTTTTGTTAATCTTGCTTGAAATAAATGGTTTTATTGTTTAGTTCTTTTCCCCATTTTTTTAACTTTGTAATTTTACATTAAATTTACATTAAATTTTGATGCTAAAATTTTGAGTATAGGCGATCTGCATTGTATCTCAACTAAAATAAATTAAAAAAAAAAGATATTATTTGTGCAACATTACGGTTTGTTGTTTTGGAAAATAAATTATCAATCAACAAACTTGGGAAAGAAAAACTTGGATGATTTAAGTGTTATAGTTTAAATGTTTGAGCTTGAAGTAATTTCTCTTATTCCTCATGTACAAAAGGCTAATTTGGCTGTTGCTCCTATGATACAATGATGCAATAGATTTCAGGGGGGTGCGATGTCCTGAGGTTTAGTGAAATTGTGTCATTACAAGAAGATGGCTAAAGCCTCTTGCTTGTCAAAAGTCTTCTAGCGTGTGTCAATCCGCCTTCACCTGTGGAAAAATTCCATGGATATGAGGAGTCAATTGCATGCTGGGGGGAGGAAACTTATTAAAATCTGACACCTGTGATCAATATCAGATTTTATTTATTTTATTTTTTGGAGGGAATTTTGGGAAGGAAATGATATAACACTGACAAACTTTCCCATCTTTATTTGTATGTAGCTTTCCCAGAACCACCTCCTTAAAATTTTTCATCGTTACTTGAGTAATGTAATCAAATGTGTTACATACTCATCACAAATTTATTACAAGAAATATCAACAACTATTGGAGATTTATCTTTCTCTCGCGTGGAAAACTTGGGCAATTTGGAAATACCAAAACAATCAATATGATTATTGAAACCTTTATTACTTCAAAGCTCAAACATTTTTCTCTTATTCCTCATGTACAAAAGGTTAATTTGGCTGTTGCTCCTATTATACAATGATGCAATAGATTTCAGGAGGGTGCGATGTCCTGGGGTTTAATGAAATTGTGTCATTACAAGAAGATGGCTAAAGCCTCTTGCTTGTTGAAAGCCTTCTAGCATGTGTCAATCCGCCTTCACCTGTGGAAAAATTCCATGGATATGAGGAGTCAATTGCATGCTGGGGGGAGGAAATTTATTAAAATCTGACACCTGTATTCAATATCAGATTTTATATTTTGGAGAATTTCATTTCTTCGTAATTATTTATTATTATAAGTAATAACATCAAATGTGTTACATGCTCATCATAAATATTATAATACAATAGTGGAGACAAAGGTATTATAAGTAACATTTATTTGACTCAACTAAAAAATAAATTATTTTTTCATATTTAGTAAAACATTATAATTATCACTTTTCATGTACATGTAACACTTACATAAAAATTTTATTCAATTTGTAGAGGTTTCAATTATTTTAAAATTGAAGAGGATTCTAAAATTAGCCCTGTTATTTACAGGTGAAGTGGATGGGATAAAATTAAATTTGGTGAATCTGTAAATAAATATGAGAAATAGTATCTAATAATCGATTTAAAATATGATTTATCAAGAGTAAATTAAAAATTCTCCAAGACATTTGGTCAACTGGTTCCATAAAAAATAATGGTCTAAACCTACCAACGAAGTGACCAAAGAATAGGCAATGTTCATCAATTACATTCCATGCAATTCTCTAGTGATTTTTATCTTATAATTTTTAATATTTATTAATAAAATCATTATATGTTTCTCTTAGGAAAAGATTGTGATTGTGGTTGTTCAGCAATGGTTCCAAAAGAAGAGTTTGCAGAATTATATGAAGCCTTCAAGCTCTTTCCGAGTCTGAACAAGATATAATTTTGATGGCACAATTGGTCTTAAAAAGAAAACCGGGTCTAACAAAAGGATTTTCTACCATTGGGATCACTATACACCAATATGCTAGGACTTGGTAGGACTTATTTTGAAATATCAGAAGTCATTTAGAATTACTCCTAAAGAACATCCGTCAAAAGCAAAATTAAAAAGAAATTATTATAATAAAAATACCAAATTAGCTGAAGAACAAAGAAAACTGGTCAATAAAAATTATACCAAAGGTAAAACGCAATATTATATATACAAGAATAGTTGATGAAGTACTTTTTGCAAGGCGGAAATTATTAGTGCAATACCAAAAAATTTTTTTATGTTCATTTACAATTAATAATTATTAATTGCCGATCCTTTTATAATCGGCAGAAAATTTTCAAATATTATTAAAAAATTTTGGGATAAGATAAATATAAATTTTAATATAAATTTAAAATCTTAAAAGAACCAATATTAAATTCATTC